TTGGGGAGCGCACTGCAAAGCCTACCATGGCAACTGCAGAAAAGAAGGACTTATTTATAAAACTGCCTTTTCTGGGGGACGCAGCAAGTGAACTAGTAAAAGACGTCTAAAGACAGCGATCACTAGCGCTTTCCACGCGGCGAACTTACGTGAGTGTTTCACTAACTCTCCCGTCCTATGCTTGGGAGGTAAAGACCAACTCCCGTTGCAGACCACATTGTGTATTTATTCATTCACTTGCTCCTGTAGAGCGGGATACATTGGCCGTACAACGAGGCGCTTGGAAAAGAGAGTACGTTAACACATACCGGCCTGGCTAGGCAAAGGTGAGAAGAAATCGATCTCGAGTTCTATTCTCACACATCTTGTCGATGCGAATCATCGAGTCGATGCCAAAGAAGCTTTTCAGATTGTCTACCGGACACCAGCAAGCTTCTCCAGAGGCCTACGCCAACGGGTGCTAGCTACAGCCGAGGCAGTGGCTATACGGCTAGCCAATCCAGTGCTATGCTGTCAGAAGACTCTGACACAGGCACTCTGTCTTCCGTGGCCAACGCCGACCCCAACGTCGCCCCAATCTCCTGATGGCAGAGTGTGTGCACAAGGTACGCGACGTACTCACAGCCTGTGTCCCCCCTCTCCCTCGCCCCCTTAACCCAATGACCACGACACGCCGACCACGCCATAGCACGCCTCGTCATGCGAGTGGCGTGGGAACGATGGATGTTTATTGTCCCCGAATCACTTGTAAGTCATGTAATTCGCATAACTTAAACTTCTTTGTAACCGTTTTGGCCTGATGAAGAGTTACTGAAAACACGTGTTCGCCAATCTGACTTTTCAATATATATATGTATATATATCGATATGCGTAAAGATTCGAGGTCCAGTCATTTATGGATTCATGAATTCGCCCTCTCTTTTTCTTCGTCTTCTTCGGGAGATGATGAACGCGATATATATATGTAAAAATATATATGTATAAAGTCATGTCCCGCAGATTTAACTCCATTTCCTGCACTGAGTAATTTCTGAAATTATTCACCCGATTATTCTCAGGGAGTTCATATACCCGAAACCGCTAGAGAACGCTGGGGGTCCCACTGAAGAGCCGAACCCCTCGCAGCCGTGTCACGCAGCGGCAGAATATCAGCGAAATACGTGTCTGGGCTTTTAGCAAGTATCTATGTCGTGAATACGATATAATACCTTTACCATATACATATATATGTGTGCATACATACGGACTGGGTCTGGAGATGATCGGAATCATCCTCAGACCATTGGCAAATTAGCAGAAATACTATATTCGTCATCGTCTACAGCTCAGGAGCACCTTCAACAGACGGGAAAGTTAAGCAGACAAGGTGTTTGGGTTCCATGCTAACTTTCAATAGGAAGAAAAAATTTGCGTTCCAAAATCCGTAGAGCTTTGCTGAACAAACAGGCAAATCACCACTTAACAAAAGCTACGAACACCAATGGTTTTCCACAGGCCGGACGTCACTTCCTACGCCGAAATCAGGCCCACACTCCGTGAAGATCATGCTGTGTGTTAAGTGGAGTATGGAAGGCATACTCCACTTTGGGCTACTCTAAGGAGATCAAACCGTGACCACAGGCGCCTACCGCCAACAATTTAGACATTTAAACTAAGTCCTTTTCAATAAAATCACAACACTAGTCAATGGAAAAAGTGTCATTCTGTCGCATAACAACGCATTCAGACCGGCAGACATAAAACAATGTCCGAAATTTAGAGTGGGAACTTTTGTCTTATCTGCCCTAATTATCTGATTGCGCCCCAACTAATTGTCATTTGTCCATTTCTCCGCGACCTATTCTGGGCGGAGACTTTTTGAAATATCCATGAGATCAAAACTGAGGTCTGAGAATTCATTGCATCAAAGCGGGATTCACATTTAATGGAGGGTATTGCGACCTTACATTTAAGTTGGGCAACAGTGATTGAGAACAATGGCGGTTATATAACTGATCAAAAAATAAACCGTATTCAGTAAAATATGTTCTTTGTCATTTATTAAGAGAGCAAAATTACTTTTCGGCATCCCTAATTCCAACAAACTTTCTTTCAAGTTCAATAATTCATATGACATTCTACAGCTCCACTGAACACTTATCCCGTTTTTTAATGCTTATTCAGTGCTTTCGCAGAAAAGTATACGAAGTCCGGCGTATATTCTCCTCTTTATTCAAAATAGAAGAACCCTCCAAATGTCTAACATCTTACTATGTTTTGTTTCTGTTGGACCGGGCTCACAGGCAGTTGTTATCAAAACATTTGATACAAGTATCAGAAATAAATCGTCAGCCTTCAATCAGCTCGTCGGTTAGCGCTCTGACGAACGAGGTGATCATCAGACCGAAGTTGCCGCGTCTGCATATTTAACCGTTTGTAAAAGTGAAGTGCCAGTCAATCGGTAAGTCCAAAGGATCCAGATTCCAGTGCCTAAAGTCGTGATCGACTGCTTGGTTTTTCATATCGACAAGTGGTTAAGAGCTGGACGCGAGGCGTTTCCCGTTCTCCCTTTGATTTAATTTACCCCGGTGAGATTATCCCCTGCAATGTTTCGGTATTCCAATTTTACCCAAATTCAACAGTTTTGAACACTCAGTAGTCAAAACTGATTGTTTTCTGATGTCCAGCATTGTTTACATTCGTTTGTCCGGTTGATGTCTTATGTGCCGTTTAAAACTGTTGTCGAGGCAGTCAAAAGCTGTGTTTTAAAAAGCGATATCACTTAACTGTTATACCATTTCCCTTTTTCACTGGTTTCACACATAAGACGGATCAAGTTAGTTGTTTATCCTCAATTCTAGCGTGCTAGGCGGGTGCTGTGGGTTAGACATTTTCCCTCGGGCATTTTCTTCTGTAAGCACATACAAGGCGACTTTGAGTATGTGAAGTCCTAAAGCCGACACATAAGAACACTTAAAACTAAAGAAGAGCATTATGAGTCCTGTTAATAAACCGACCTCAACCGGAAATAGTACATCATCCGCACTATCGTACAAAGAGTAGACGAGAAGGGAAAATTAATCCAGAAAGACTATTTGTCATTTGAATTTGACGGAGAATTGTGTCGGGTGATCAATCAACCGCGCGAGGTCAAACAAGGGATGCGCCGTCAATGCGACTCTGACATTAGATGGGGCGATTTCAGCAAAGAGCCCAGAGGTCTTTGACTGCATTTTTCAAACGAGCCCATTATCGTGAATTTAGATTAAGCTATTGAAGTACAGACCGGTGATATTGAACAATTCTCTCAGTCGATAGGGCTCCCTTTCATATGGTGTAGGACGCAAAATTCGTCTAGGGATCGTATGGCAAGAGTTTTGTGGCGGAAGAGAACTTCACCTAACGTCAATTCTGCTGAAGTACTTGCTTAAAATTAAAGACTCCTATTTGTCGCTGGTTTGCCAATGAGGATAAAAGTGCTGACTGATTTGCCTGAAAAGACTATGCAAGGACTATTCATAAAGCAAATTAGGGTTATTTTCGACTGCCTTCCGATCTTTCGCGGATCATGACCTTGCATTGTTTTTTCCGTTTAATTTTAGCACTCCTTATAAAACAAGTGATTTCTGACGCACCAGATGCCACTTACTAGTCCTTAGTGATGAACAGGCTGTTTCCTTAATTTAAGTGGATACCCTTTTGACTACTCGTCCTTTGGCTTACTGAAATATAGGCCCCTTTTTCCGTTCGACAACATTTCCTTTAAGGGAACCGCTTATTTACAAACAACAGACAGGAAAGACACAGATGATGAATAGCTCTGAAAGGCTTCAACCGAAAAGTTGTGTGTACCCTCTCCATGTCTATCCCTTAACAGGTCTGTCAAAATGTCGACTTATCAATCTTACACTTTGGGTTAGAAGGTTCCGGCTATGTGTCAACAGACCAATCAGATCTGAGTTCCAAATTTTGGACCTGTAGGAAGAGTTTTAGGACAAGGCTGACTGGTGATAACAAATAACGCAGAAATGATCATTCTACGCTTCCTGTTCTCGCCATAAATTTTAAGCTTACTGTGTGCGAACGATTTTGCAGGCTACCGTGAGAGATTTGGATCGGGGCTCCAAATCCGGCTGTTACAGAACGTAACTTTCACGTGACTGGGAGGAAAAAACTAAAAATATTCATGAAAAAGGATAAGTTTACTCTCACAGGTATTTCGCCGTTAGGAAGTATAGACCCCATCCAAGGAAATATCTGCTTTTCTTTAAATTGTTTTGAACTATTCCCTCAATAGTGTCCTGTGTAACATGGGGCGCATAGCCCGCAAACAAACCTTGGATGCGGGGGCGGGCGGCTCGTGCTCTATAAAGGTTTTACTGCGCAACTCCTGAACTTTAATTAGATAGTACACGAACTGTGTTTCCGTATTTTATCAGGCGATTACTTTCATCAGTTAAGAGAGTGTGGCAAAATTATGTAGGATTTTTAGACAATTTTGAAAGCTCCTGGCATTACTGAGAGTTCATTTAAATCCCTATGAACGCTGGGCTAATTGCAATAGGTAAATACCCCACGCTGCATTAACAAATAAGCGCCTAAACGCTGCAGCGCTGATGGCAACACCATGTGTGTATGCAGTAATTCAAAAAACCCCCGCGCAACTGTGAAGTACATTCATAGTTCATTGCCAGACAAAACGCCGTTTAACTGCGCAAATATTTGCGCCTCAGGCCAGACAGTGCGGAACAAGTGGCGTGGCACAGGTGGCGCGTAGTGGTGCTGCGTTAGGGCTCTCAACTGCTGTAGTTTACAGCATCTCAGCACCGGCCTCACACACCCGCGTGTAGAGCCCGCTCTCCGCGCTTATGCAGATCGCCACGGCTACCGTCGACGCGCCTCGCCTCACCTCGCCGACGACGCTGGCTCAGGCGGGTGCGGGCATCTTGGTTGGTCAAGCAAAAGATACCTTCGCGTCAGGTTCAAGCACCAGCCGAGGTGGTCGACGCATGGGTGTCGGATGGACTGTCCGGCGGATGGACCTCGCCGACGACGCTGGCTCAGGCGGGTGCGGGCATCTTGGTTGGTCAAGCAAAAGATACCTTCGCGTCAGGTTCAAGCACCAGCCGAGGTGGCCGACGCATGGGTGTCGGATGGACTGTCCGGCGGATGGACCTCGCCGACGACGCTGGCTCAGGCGGGTGCGGGCATCTTGGTTGGTCAAGCAAGAGATACCTTCGCGTCAGGTTCAAGCACCAGCCGAGGTGGCCGACGCATGGGTGTCGGATGGACTGTCCGGCGGAGGGCTCTGACCTGCTTCCTCTCAGCCGGCTTTTCGCTGCCACAGCTGAAGCCAGCCCACCACATTTCCTCGACTCTGGGATCGGCCAGCGTAACGTTAACAGACTAAACCGACGAATGCGATTTGACATTTTGAAACTCAAGTTGGGACTATGGGCAGGTGAGGTGGTAGTTGGCGTTTTATTCCGATTACGGTGTATCAGCATCATGAAGAAAGGAGACGAACTAAAAGTCTTAAGAACACTTCCTTACTGTGAATTACAAAATGGGTAGAAACCCGAGAGACTTTGTATTGCTGATATTGTCGAAAAACGCATCCGGGCGTAATGGAACGTACGCGGAAGCGTAGATCCCAATCAGACATATACAGCTGCCAGCCAGACAGACACCAGCTGCCTTCCGGCGATGCGATAGGCTGGTGACGAAGTCAAACAGGCGACAAATGCCAAAGAGCAATAACAGAAATCCAGCTAATTGTCAGAGAAGCCACACGAAAGTTTAATCTAAAATACGACTGATGGTTTATCAAAATCTATTGCACAAACGCTACTGGGAAGCTTAAATCCAGACAGAGACTCCTCCGCGCTTCCAGATTTTCCGTGATGCATATAAGTTCAAAGGGCTTCTTTCGAGCCGTTTGTAAATTGCAGGCCATCAGGCGATCCTGTAATAATCCAGTTTACTGTTTTTTTCTACCGGGACAGTTCCTGTATACCACACTACCTGTGTGACGCTGGCTTTGGACCTGCACGTATTGAAAACTGGGGCAGGTAAAAGGTAGGGAAACAAAGAACAGACGAGCAGGACAACAGTTCGGGTGGATCACCGTCGGCCGCATTCGAGCCATCGAAAGCGAGGAGTCCGAACCAGCTTCGTTTTTGTGCGTAGGCATGGGTACTCAGAGCGGGTGCCCTCTCTTCAACGATTTCTTGTGGAAGTAACCGCCTCAGTGGCCCCGAACAGCACTTCATTACGTGATCTATTACCCCGAACGCCCGACTGACGTTACTCCACAGATAAGCGTAGATTAACTGCGCCAATACATAGATGGAGATGGTATTCCCTTTTCCAAACAAGCCAGCAAGAGTTCCCGCATTTCACAACGAAGACGCGGGGTTTTTCTAGTAGTGCATCACGATGACTACTTACACTCCTAGGCTGGAAAAAAGACAAAAGTGTTTCAGAAGGACTGGATCCAAGCAAATGTGGTGGAACAAGCG